TAGTCGTTAAAACAGTAAACAACGACAGTATAAGTCCACAAAATGCGATTTTATAACTACTTACAATAACGTAATAAAACATAATATCCTTAATACGGTATTAAACCTCTTTTATTGCAAAATTAATGGAGTTTATGCCAAACTGGCCATTTTTCACAAAAAAAAAATAGAAGATGCCATAATTATTTTAAAATAAGAAGAGTTTTTTTTAATTATGACAGTCCAACCAGCCAGTTTCAAATGTTCAATATATAACTAAAACCTCGTTGAATAGTTGGTACACTTTTTATATACTTCAAACTTATTTTAGGTATGGAGCCCTACTTCTAGTAGATACTGTGGTCTCACTTGGTGGGCACCCCTTCTTCATGGACGAATATGAAGCAGATGGAGTATTTTCTTCAACACAGAAGGCTTTCAGTGGCCCTGCTGGAATATCTCCTGTAGCATTCAGTACACGAGCTGAGTAAGTTAATACTTATTAGTAATGTTAATAAAACATTATATATATTTTTTTTGCTTTAAACACATACTATTCATAAGTTTCAATAGATTACTATGTCCATCAAACATAGGTACTGCTAACTACCTACTTACACCATTTACTAAAAACAAAAATTGTTTTTTCAGGGAGAAGATAAATAACAGAAAGCATGAACCTTCATTCTACTTCGACGTCAAATTATTAGCGAAACAGTGGAACTGTTATGGTGATACCAGAGTGTAAGTGTTTATTTTTTATACATTATACATTTAATTATCAACATAACAATATATGCAAAGGTATACACAATGTAACACCAACTTTTCATCATGAGCCTTTTGCCATCCACCAGGCACAATTCCAGACTCCTAGTTACTACTCAAAATTTATCAAAAATACAAAAAAACTCGATATTACTTACCCAGGAATAGCATTCGCGCCTTTGCTCTGCATTATAATATTCATAAATAAAAAACTATTGTAAATTCGTCATAAGTTATTGACGTAGATAAATTATGTACATGTCGAAATAAAATAAAAACAATTATAGAAATAAAAGCATAACAAAAATAATCATACTAAATCAATTGAGATAAATTATAACGATAACTCAAAATATACTGTCAGTCAAAATATGAAATACATTTCGACATTAATTTATATCACTCAACATGAATATTCTTATTAAAGTTTTACTTCAATAATATTAACTTATACAAAGGTAATTTTATTTATTCAGTTAATATGCACACAAACTGTAATATTACATTTCTGAAATTTAATTTAAGTCCCTATGTATATTCCAATAATTCATAATATTATTTAAAAAATTTCAGTTTAAATTGGTTTCAAAAAGTACGCGAGTGTTTGATACAAAAGTACAGGTTCATTTAAAACACATCATTATCAACGTTAGCAAAGACAAAGTCAAAGTCATTAAAAAAATATTTCAATTAGACCAGAAAGGCACTATTGAACGTCAACAAAAAAAGTAATGTTATTTGCTCATTCCAAGGCGTAGATTGCTATGAAGATAAGCATGAAACTCCACAGGATACTCTTTTTCGATCAAGTTCACAATACAATTCTCTAATTACTTTAACTGATTTGACTGCATAGTTTATGCCCTAGTTCGGCAACTGACTGCTCCACATTGTTTTTTTTTATGGGATATCCAGTAAATGAACTGATCACCTGATAGTAAGCAATCGGCGTCGCTCATGGACACCTGGAACACCAGAGGCGTTACAAGTATTTTATCGGCCTTTTGGGGATTAGTAATTTGGGGATTGTTGGGATTCAGAGAGAGATTGGGGAGAGGGGAATTGGGTCCCCGGTAACCTCATTCATACGACGACATACAACGCAAACGTTGTTTTAAGTCGGTTTTCTGTGAGGCCGTGGTATCACTAAGGTCGAGCCGGCCCATTCGTGCTGAAGCAAAAGGTGAGAGAGCCTCTCACACCTCGGCCTTTTATCACAGATTAGACTTCCACATAATAAAAGAAAAACAACTAAATACTATTTAAAAGACTGCCTCGTTGGCCGAGTGGTCGCAAGTGTCGCCGCAAGCATTACTGGGTTTTTAAAAATTCTCAGTAGGAGCACGGAGTCTGGAATTGTACCCGATATATGGCAATAGGATCACCCCCTATTACATGAGACTCATAACATAAAACAGTGAAAAGTGGGTGATACATTGTTAAGTGGTATAACGTACACCTCTGCCTACCCTTTCGGGGATAAAAGGCGTGATGTTATTTAAAAACTAAACTAACCAAAAATACCTCTTTAACCAACTTCTTCCTGCCTCATATCCTCAGATACCACCACACGATGAGTCCACCAATGCTATGGGCTTTAAGAGCCTGTCTCCAGGAAGTCTCCAATGCAACCCTGCCAGTGGTCTGGGCGCGTAACGCTGCAAGCACCGCACACTTCCACAAACGCCTTCAAGAATATGGCTTCGAGTTCTTTGTTCCGAAACCTGAGGAAAGATTGACTACTGTTACCACAGTGGTCCTCCCGAAAGGAGTTAATTATTTGGAGTTCACTGCTGTTTTGAGAGAAAAGTAAGTATATACAGAATATGGTTTTCATTCATGTACAAGTCTCTGAGTATTTGCTATAGGATCCCATTAGGCCAATAAAAATGATTTTAATACAAAAGACTAGGTAGTAATTGGAAAACTACTAATACCTTTTTGTTAATAATGATGTCATAAATAACAATGACATCATCGTCTACAATTAAATATTGATATAAGGAATTTGCCCGTCAATAGAACCAACCGAATTCAAATTACTTAAGTTTACTTAATTGCTAAACAATAAAGTGAAAATTTTATAAAATTTTGATATGTGAGGTTATTTGATATCACTGGTCATAGAGAGCCTTTTCTTGTCTCTCTTCTAAATCCTTAAAAGAGGGCGGCACAAGAGTGAAATAATTACACGCCGTAATACTTGGCATACAGCAAATTGATCCAGTCAAATAAAGTGGAATCCATTTTCCAATCAAGACCAGATTTAATCGATAAAAATTCTAAGAAATATTTGTAAAAAGATTTTAATATCCGTTTGTTTATTCATGTTATTACTTTTACAGGCATAATATCCTGATTCTGGAGGGCCGTGGTCCCACTGAGGGCAAAGCCCTAAGAGTGGGCATCATGGGTGCTAACGCAAGAACTGAAGTAGCAGATATTTTGGCAGATGCAATGGCGGACACGTTAAACACTATGTTATCATCATCTTAATTATTTTTTTACTTTGTTTGTAATGTGATACGATAATGTTATTTTGTGATAAATAAATCGAATTATATTTTTATCTCCAAATATAAATCTATGTAAATACTGAAATAACGAGTTTATATTTTTCATTTCCCATATTTTATTATAACTATCATGTCGAGATCTTAACCCCTGTTACTATGCAATATTTAGCACATCAAAATTGGCCTACTATTGTATTATCGTTTTTAGGAAAAACTACGAAAATCTCAATATTGAAAAATCTTTGCTCGACCCAAGAACTTCAAACTCAAACGCACGTCAAGACATATAAAAAAATAATAGTCAGTCTCTCCGTCAGTGAAGCTAGGGTCTCGTAAACGTATTATACCTACTTGTATAAGCATAGAAACTGAAATTCAGTCTGTTCTTTTTCAATTAACTTACCGCTTATTACAAAACAAAGCTCGATAAGCAAAAAATGCACACTATTCATGCATACTATGATTGCAAGTACACCTCAGCCTTAACCACAGATGGGGCCCAACAGGGCTGATGCCGATAGGGAGCCGCGGACAGGAGTAGAAACGGGGTGGTTTTTAGTCAGTAAGAGTCTGTCACTCCCTTCCGCCTCACCCGGGCGGCAGAAGTCATTGGATGAATTTCCCGCTCAAAAAAAAATGCACCTCAGCCTACCTCTGCAGAGCAAAAAGGCTTAAATATTAGTCTGGCTATACAAAAAGATAACAAGCTTCCCAGAATCTTATAAATATGTATCTGTGACATAAATAAAAACCCAATTCTAAAGATAATTCGACAATCATTATCTTAATTTATCAAATCTCCAATAGATTTGATAAATTAAGATAATGATTGTCAATAAAGTGTAAAATATCAGATGAAATCGATAACCCGAATTGCCCCATGCTTTGTTCCATAAAGTTCAGAGTCCAAATTTCGGTTAAGGCAAGAGTTATATCTTTAAAAATTATCTTAACTACAACTATTAATAAGTATTCGTGTCTTTCGTTGATTTTGTATCAGATAATATTAAAAGGCAATAAAGCCAAAGTCAACAGAAGAAACCTATCTTTAAGTGTGGGAGAGCCATGTTTCGGCAAAAATGGGCCGGCTCGACCGGAGTGATACCACGGCCTCACAGAAAACCGACGTGAAGCAACGCTTGCGTTGTGTTTCGTCGTGTGAGTGAGGTTACCGGAGGCCCAATTACCCACCCTCCCCTTCCCCAATCTCCCCAATCCCTGAATCCCCAACGATCCTCAAACTCCTAATCCTCAAAATGCCGGTAACGCACTTGTAACGCCTCTGGTGTTCCAGGTGTCCATGGGCGACGCCGATTGCTTACCATCAGGTGATCCGTCTGCACGTATACCGGTTTATGCCATAAAAAAAATGAAATACAATATATAAAATATAACTTACTCTAATTCGTCCTGCCCATATAACCTAAAACACCATTAATTACTTTAAGATCTCATATTACTATCCCAAGTTAGCGTACCTACGACCATTGACCCCTAGTTAGCACACAACCACAGTATATATTTTTAATACTGTGACACAACAGATAATAGAATTACAAAAATCACATGACGTCATCTTTTGACAGTTTCCATAAACAAAAATCTATTAATGTTCTAACACTACCCACCAACCTCGTCTTAATAGACTTAGGTTAAAATAATTTACACTTACCCTCACTCCAACCACAAAACTTTGGGAACCAACTCACCCAAAGAACCTTATAGCCTTCCTAAGTCGCCTTTTATACAACCTCGATGAGAGTGGTGTGCATTTTTGCACACGACATAATTATCGTGAAAATTAATCTTGATAATTTGGAACCCCTCTACAGGCAATTACATCATTGTATAGCTTTATCGTCACACATAAATACATAAACTAACGACCACCATTATATCGTCAGTTCTCGTTAGCCGGCCGTGGCGGACACATAACCCTTTGTGGTCAATATAGTGAAGTGAAAAGTGAATATTTTCGGAATCTCTGTGATTTACCATGTGAGTGAAAACTTTTTACGATTTTTATAAAGATAAGGACGTATTAAGATAACACAGCGCTATAACTTTTCAAGTTCGATTATCCCCAAGTCCGATAACATTACGAACATTTATCAAGATCAAATGTAAACAAACAAATATTCATGTCACATTTTGCGGCATCAACTCCGACAAGGAGGTGATATTCCTGCCGGAGCGGAGCTGTTTGTAAGCGTGAAGGTCCCGACGCGGGTCGTTCGTCTTTCGCTCCGCTGTGTCCCGCCGGGAAGCCGGGATCGCTTCGACAGTCGCGATGGGAATCGAATCAATTTGTCGAGACAACATTGCGCTCGTTCGATCTTCATCCCGCGTCTTCGTCTTATATAACCTCAGATCTAGCTTGGGAACGACGAACTATCATGTCAATAAGCGCGCTGCCAAATGCACTCTTGACCTCTCTTATCTGTGGCACGGTTAACGTTGAAATACATTCGTGTTTTGCTTTTTTAAGCGACCATACTGTGAATGAATGGTAAATTGGGATATAAAAACAATTGTTAAACCGCAGGCTACCAACGATAGCATGTGGAACAAATATGAGGCTGGCAAGCGGCGCTCGCCTCGGGCGAGGCGCACTTGCCAAATGTGCCATCCGATAGCGCCAGAACATTGTACGAAATTTACAACCACCCTATTAGCACTAAATCTAAACATTAACCCGATTCCGGTAACCGAACTTCACGAATACTTGCGCTGAATATCGGTCACTGAGTGCGAGGTAGTTTCACTGAGATGCTCTTGTATCTGAGTGGTAATAAGTATTTGCATTGAAATGAGATCAATTAAAAGTTATCTTGCGAAAATTAGGTACAACTAATCTAAACATAAGAGATGTTACTCAGTATGTAAAAATGGACCATGAAAACCATCTACAGAACAAGACCATTTCTACATCCAAAAGTCGTAATGTCGTCGTTTCTTCTTCCAGAAAATACTATCAAGATGTCTTCCCACAATTTCATAGTAGCTCCTCCAAGGATTGAAGACAGAGAGGTTGTGAAGCCGCTGCTATGTGGACCGGGACCATGTGACTACTGGCCTTCCGTGGAGAAGGCACTCAGCAAGCCTGTTCTCTCTCCGATCTGCGAAGAATTGTTCAAAGTACGTAGTGTTTTGTAATGTTTTGATGAGATCAACACGTGGACAGTGTACAGCTGTTAACGACTGTTGCTATCTACGCTGCGTCACTTGTACTTAGACGGGGTCGACCTTATCACCTTGTTGATAACTAAACAAACATTCGCTGTACAATCAAACTCACAGAGATCCTTACTCTTCCCTATTGTACTTCCATTTAGCCCGAGGTTATCAGGGTCCCTCACATTTAAAGGCAAGCAGGGAAAAGTTCGTGATGTCATTGTGCTTACAAAACACGCGTGTTTATTGTTCGTATGCAAAAACAAAACCTGGAGTCCTATGTACTCAGGTGAAATTACATGAATAATATAGTAAGGTCTCTCTCATGAGTTACAAGAATGCTGCACACCGCAATAATCCAGAGTGTTTGCAGAGTAAGTAAACAACCTTTTTGAGTTTGTTCCCATTATATAAGGGTTGGCAAACATACAACCGTCCAAGGTCAGGCCTTGTCATATCTCAAGAGGTAAGCTCAAATATGAGTTGAGGTTTTCTTTTCATATTTCGCGTTCGAACTTAATGACGCCTTTCTTCACTGAATACTTATTTGAAATGTAATTCTCAATGAGAGGGCTTAGTTATACTTCTTTGGGTTTATTTGTTGGGTAATTGGTTGTCTTCTTTAAAGGAAAGTATGGGACTCTACGTAATATCGTTATTAAGCGTGTTTATCCTGTTTTTTATTATAAAAAAAGTTCTTCACTGCTAAGCCTGAACAATGACTATGGTAACTTCTTCGTCTGTAGCCCATGATACCATATACGTACCTTACTCATTGTTCAAACGTGTAAGAAGTGCAGTAAAAAATACGACACTTATTATACTTATGCGAGACATGATAAACTATTGTTATGTTATAAAATCTGTACGCCACCATATTTCAGGCAAATAAATGAATCTATCTATCTATCTATCTGCACTGCCCTAAACTGCACACAGATGCAAAATGTAATAACATGTATTTAAACGTACGTTTTTTTTTCTTCTCATTCCAGGTCTTAGAAGACATTCGTGTTGGCTTGCAGTACGCGTTTCAAACTCGTAGCAAGCTAGTGATGGCCACGAGTGGGTCTGGCCACTCCGGCATGGAAGCCATTATCAGCAACCTAGTGGGACCTGGCGAAACATTGCTTATCGCTTCCAGGGGCATATGGGATCAACGCGCACTCATGATAGCCACTAGATACGGTAATTTTGTAATAATTATGTAAAAAGTATAATATCATCAAATGACGTCATCGTCATCAATATCTTTATGTTAAAAAAATATAATATAAATAGGTAGGTAGTCTTTTTACTTGACAAATTATGAAAACGCAATTTTTAATAGGATTTTCCATTATTTCACGTTACTTTATACCTATATAGTCTGTGTGCTATTCAATAATTGTAGCTTTACATAAATAATGAACAGTTTCCTCAAATGGTTTCTCCAATTCCTCCGATAGTTTAAATTGCATTCCTGACTTCAGACTTCAAAGACTTGACGCCTTTGTCATGATTTCAGGCATAAAAACCAAAGTGGTGAGTATCCCAATGGACACTACCTTCAGTCTTGCACAACTGGAGCCTGAACTGAAGAGGATACGTCCAGCTGGCCTCTTCATAACACATGGAGACTCCTCAACTGGAACACTACAGAGTCTTGAGGGTTTAGGCGACCTTTGTCACAAGTAAGTACTTATATACATAAGTACCAAATTTCCTTGATAAAGGATAAAACGAAATCAAATCAACCATACATTTTCTCTATTCTCTAAATAAGGAATTAAAAAATATTATGATCAAATAAGTCACTAAATTAAATTAAATTTTAAAAAGCAAAAAGGCGCATAGCGATGACATTCTAAAAATGCTGGCCGGTTTTAATTAAAGTAAAGCAAGTTACAGCCATATTAAATCATTATGAACAAATTAGTGAAAAAGAAAACATTAATGGCGTCCCATAATTATTTCGAGCACGAATGACCAGTTAACACAAAGTTAAAAATATTAAGGAAAGAGGTTTAAATACTTTAGAATTATTATGTAAACAAACAATATTTTTTTCTTAACTTTGTTGGAAATTATAGTAATTATTAGTTTTTTTATATATAATATTAGTACTCTGTGGTTACAAAAAAGAGCCTTAATCTGTCAAACACCATAGGACACCGGCGACCGCAACCTATTGTTCTTTAAATTGAAAAAAGGAATTAGTTATTTGCACAAAAATAAAGGACAGTAAAGTCAGAATTTGTAGTTACAAGTCTAGTTCAAACAAAGGCTAATCGGTACCAATAGTGCTAAATAGTTATTGAGTTCCGACTCGACGTGCAGGAGAAGGAACGGGGTGGTTTTTAGTCAGTAAGAGTCTGACACTCCCTCCCGCCTCACCCAGGCGGGAGCAGTCATTCGATGATTTTCCCCCCTTAAAAAAAATATAGTTATTGAGTTAAATCTAGTCTTAGTCAGCCGACCTATTTTTACAATGGTATGGAAATGATAGTCTTCTTTGACTATCATTTCCATAACTAAGAACTAGTTAATCAATTTTACAAAATCTTTTAATTCCATTGTGTTGTTTGTAATGAACGGCAAATTCAGTACCTATTGTTCGTATTTTTATTATTTTTATTCTTACTAATAAATGTAACCACCATTAGTCGATACTCGCAAATTGGCACCAAATAGTTTGATTCCTTAATGGGGGTCAAAATAAAATTGTAAGTAACTTTAAACGAAAGGCTAGTTAACGAAATTCATCGGTCCTTTAGCTCGTGTCTGTCAACTTAACGAACTGCTGTAAAAACCACGAGCGGGGCCTTTATCCAATCTGTACTAAAACCATTCCTCCTGTCGCCCTTTCTCTTCCAAATTAAAAAAAAAACAGCGAACTTTAGCAGAAAAACTATTTGATTGCCCGAGGAACAGAGACTGGGACACGGGGACCGAACAATTTAATTACACTCGTTGTCTCTCTCATTCCTGACTTGGCTTTTTACTTAGATCTAGGTCTGAATACGTTCTAGTTGAAAACTCTTTAATTGCATCCTGGGAAGGAGTCTGCAATTAGCATGCAGTGGAAAATACCGAGCGCGGTAAAAGTTAAGATAAAAAGTTTTTCGGTGATTCCGACCGACTATTTGAAATTTTTCCTTGGGTACTTTTACTTTAAGCGTTGTAGTTCAACTTGACTTGCTTTCTACTCTAATACTTACTTGTAAACTGTCCTTTGAGATGCTGAAGTATTTTTATTTGACTTAGGTACAAGTTGCTGTAGTTTTTCTTCTACTGTCTTTCGTTCATCTGTCGTTGTTCGTCAATTTTGATGTACTTGCATATATTATTATTAATTTATTTTACTGAACCTTGAATCTTATTGTAATAAAAACATGACGGCTATCATTTTGTTCTATTTCTGTATACAAGCAATATCCTAATAATAAAATAAATCTTTCAGATACGGGACACTACTCCTGGTCGACACCGTAGTCTCGCTTGGAGGAGTTCCATTCTTCATGGACGAGTGGGGAGTCGATGGCGTATACACTTCCACACAGAAGGTGTTCAGCGGACCTGCTGGCATCTCTCCTGTAGCATTCAGCGCTCGTGCTGAGTATGTTATCTTTGTTTTTAGGAAAATAACACTTACTTAAAATGTTTGACCTTATTTAATCATATTAATACTTATTTACAAGTTACTTCGAAGTTGCGCGACACTGATCCACTAATTTTTGTATTTTTTTGTTTGTCTAGACAAAAAATGAATAGCAGAAAGCACAATCCTCCTTTCTACCTGGACGCCAAGCAGTTAGCTCTGCAGTGGAGCTGTGATGGAGTCACAAGAACGTAAGAATATTCATGTTTACAAACAATGAAATAAAAAAAAGTTTAACAATCAAACCCGAGATATTATTAACACTTTCATTTCCTCCATTCAGATACCACCACACGCTAAGTTCACCATTGCTGTGGGCCCTCCGAGCATGTCTCCAAGAGCTGGTGAGAGAAACCCTACCAGTATCCTGGGCTCGTCACGCCGCCAGTACTGCACACTTCCACAAACGTCTTCGGGAGTACTCCTTCGAGTTCCTCATCCCGAAGCCAGAAGACCGCCTGGCAACTGTCACAACTGTGAAGCTGCCGAAAGGATACGACTATCGAGGATTCGTCAAATATATGAGGGAGAAGTAAGTTCTTGTTATTTGCGTTACTTAGATTGATAAAGTTACATTATAATTACGTTATATTTTATTACGTGAAAATGAAACTGAACTGATTTTGTCGAGTTACTTTACCGGATGCCCAATCCCCCCCCCCCGTTCCAATCTCCTCAACCCCTGAATTCCCAAAAATCTTCACATTCCTAATCCCCAGAAGGCCAGTAACGCAAACCTCGGGTGATCAATCTTGACTTCCAAAACCCCTTCCAAAATCTTCAATTTTTCCAGTACCATATGGTATATAATTAATTCAATAATAGGAGCCTCGTTCATGAGACCCCCGACCCATATCTACCAGAGAAGCTTTCTCTGCCTTTTCAGTTTTCTTTTCGATTCAGTTTTTGTTAAATACGTAATAACATTTTTAACATCTCCACAGCCACAATATCCTAATCTTCGCTGGACTAGGACCGACAGTAGACAAGGCACTTCGCATTGGCATCATGGGCGTCAACTCCACAACGAAAGTCGCTGATGCAGTAGCTGACGCCATGGCTGATACCCTTCGAGCTCTCAAGAAATCTTCTCTTTAAGTTAATAAATTAAATCAAAAACACAATTTGCCTTTTGACAAGGTAACAAATATCAATAAAACAAAAATAATTAATATTGTAATTTTATAAATAAAAATTGTAAATAAATGTCTGAAATAAATTTTCATTTAATTTTATCAATACCTATCTCGTGTCGGCGAAAAACTGTTCATCGCCTGTCTACCCACTGGATTGTACCACTGGTAATGGAATGGATAATATTTCACTATTACCCCTCCAGACCACCACGGATTGGGCCCAATAGAGCGATGTCGATAAAGAGCCGCGGCGATCGTAAAAGGTCGACTCTGACCTGGGCTCCGGCTCGAGGTGCAGGAGTAGGAACGCGGTGATTTTTAGTCCATAAGAGTCTCACACTCCCTCCCACCTTACCCAGGTGGAAAGAGTCATTCAATGATTATCCCCCCTTATAAAAAACCCTCCACCAATGTTTTACAAAACAGATCCGTCCATAACATAACTCGAATGACATTCATACCTTTTCACCCTTATGCTCCCTCTATATATGCTACCCTAATATTCAAACTAGCTTTTACTCGCGGCTTTGCCCGCATATTCCCGTTTTATCCCATTGGAGCATTTAATCAGGATAAAAAAGTATGTTATGACCTGAGTCAGCCTGAGTCAGTCTGTATACCTTCATCAAATTCCGTGATTGAATCATACAAACAAAGAAACTTTCATATTTCTAATATTAGTGTTGTTCATTAAGGAATAATATTTTCTACACATCTTGTTTTTTGTTAGTACTGATAAAATTAGAGGACGTCCTTTGAAGTTTTTCATTGATCAAGAGGTACTAGTGAAATGGTGATGATTCACTATAATCGGTCTGTCGTATTTTGAAGTTAAAAGTGACCGAATAGATTTTGATTTTGGTACGTACTATATTCGATTGTTCGTGTCTTGTAGCGGAATATGGAAACAATGAGGTTCTAGGACAAAATGAAATTCATAAAATTATGTTCACAGGTCATTTATTTCATATCAATGTATGACGGTTTACAAACTATTGACTGGATGTGTCTAAGACAACCCAAATAGCATGATAAATACCACAAATGTTTAATTTTTACAAAGAAATTCAATATTCTCCAATTCCATTTAAACAGTTCTAGAATAAAATAAAATTGAATATCATCCCGTTAAATACCAGTACATAGGTAGGTATTGAATGCAGTGATTTATTAAATAGAAAAACAATGCAATACAAGCGAGTTCATAGTATTCTTTATGGCTATTAGTTATGTTATTCGCAAGCCATAGGTGACTAACTTCCTATTGTTAGATTATACAAAAAATATATTAGAACCAAGATAAATCTTGCGCTTAACCGAGTGATATTCTCGTTATGTCAAAATAAAAATAATAATAATAATAGCCAATCTAACATTTTTAAATAATACAACAAACTCCTCAAAAAATTTTGACAGGACTAGAACCCACAACAAAACGTGAAAATTAAAAAAAAGTACGTAAATCATTTACAAATTATTTTTGGCAAATGGACTCTCTTTAAACAAAAATCAAATTGCTAAAATACGTGCTGAAACGGCACAATATCAAATCCGGGGACTTTGATCACGTGGTGCATAAACTGCAGCGCCTAAATTAATCCATTAGCAATTTACATAAAGCCGCCTTACCGCGCCCGCGCATAACATTTGTAAAAGGCGTATCATCACGTCACTTGACCTACAACGCTTCAGTTTGTACACCCTGTGACTACAAGCTTCGGACACAACTTACAAGTAATAAATTCCTATTATAATCAGTATTGAAAACAGACGTATCGCTAGCTACATGGCATTCATATCCATCACATCGAAACATTTGGACTAGCTTCCTTAATTACGTAACTAACCCGTTAAACTAGTAATTAAACAAAACTAGTCACGTTTGCGTAAACTACACCTTACATTATTATATTGTTTTATATCGGTACAATACGTTATAGGTATCAATGTATACACTTGAAATGTAAACTATAATGACATTAATATTTACAAAATTTATTAAAACAAACGCATATAAAGTCTATTGATGTACGTGTAAGAAAACCTCATTACTCCAGTCTCCGAGGCATATTCCAATGCATAAGCCACTGGGATTACATTCCATTACTATGTATAAATGTAATTATAAGTCGAAGCAACATCAATTCCAATATGTCGGTTGTTATTGTCTACAATATAACATTAAATATCTCCTCCCTTGTCCACTACAACTAGATAAAACAACGCAGGTAATAGAGTTACCGATCATTACATGTAATGACACTCGTGGTATTAAATATACGATATACAAAACTAAAAGCAAATGCACAAACAAGGCGACCAATAAGATAGCATTTGTGATGGTTCATACATGATTACCTAAACGTGCGGTTATCCCGTATCATATACAATAGAGACGTAAATAAATATGCACATAAGTAGTAATTATAATTTATATTTACATTTAAGAAAATATGGCACATCTGTTATCGACCGCGCTCGCAATCCTTGTCTAACGACCGAGCGATCGAGCCCTACCACTAAAATAATACGAATCAGTATCGGATCATTGTAATGCGCCTAAATTTCGGGTTACCATAATACCAATTAAAATACCGGTGGGTAAGTAAATATTCAACGCCGTTAAAATAATACACAGTAAAGCTACCGTCCGTCGTCGATCGACTCCGAGCCTCCACGCGGCCGACCGTCCTACCGCCTCCTACCGAGTCACGCCGCGGCCGTCGCCGTCGCCGCTACCGAACGCGCGCACTGACGCACTCCGCCACATCCACTCACTCCGATGATAACAATAACCTCTAATTGGCCAAGCCTCATATTTTTATCCATACAGTCAATAACAATTGTATCTTGCCCGATATAGTGTAGCAAAATTTTACTTCTGTATTCGTCATACTCGTGCTAACAAGAGTCATATCTTGTACTGCACTGAAACTGTCAGTCAGCGTGTCGTGTGAGTCGCACCGGTCGTTCGGTTCGGTGACGGCACGCCACCGATGACGCAAACTAAAACTAGAGACACATTCGAATCGCACGAGTACATAAAAATATGTCAGTCTATAGAGCTACGCGCTCACTCACTTAGCCTACGAGCAGTCTGGGGTATAGACGGGGTGGTCGGGCGCAGTAATACTGTGTCCGGGGAGTGTCGCGCGCGGGCGGGCTGCACGCTCAGCTGGGCGGCGGCGGCGCGGGCCGCTCCGTGCGCGGCGCGCGCTGCCGCCGGTGTCGCGTGCACGCGCAGCACGCGTCCACGCGCCGTCGCCGCGCGCACGCCGCTCGTCCGCATCGTTTGCGCACACATGTCACCTCCCCGTCCTGGAACACAAACGATCACTTGTTTAACGAACGAACAACACCATTTAATGAACGATTACAAATTGTCACTTTAGTTTTCCGATATGTATTGTGTAGACTATCTATGGTGAGATTACCTTGCATCGACAAGTGACACACCGCTGCTCTCCATGCGAATGTATAGAGGGATGCACTTCCTTGCCGTTGGGCAGTGGCCCGTCGGGGAACTTGCATCCTCCTTCTGCCAGAATCTCCTCGGCAGTACGTGGTGCACCCTGGTCTTTTGGAGTTTCTTCATCCGGTTTCTTTGCTTTCAACTGAGACAACATTAAAAAAACATGAATAAATGGGTTTTAAAATTATTAACTCGTACACAATTATCTGATATAAGTCCCCAAAATTTGTTCATACAAAAGTAGTCTCTAAGGATCAGATATAAGGTCTATAATGGAGTTAGTGGCGAGCGATCACCGATGATCGCTTGGGATTAGTAAACCGTTTTTGTTTTCAGTAAAGTTCTCATTTACCTCTGGGCACACACGGCAGCAGGCTTTCTTGTCCGGCCTGTACGCTTCTTTTTCACTGCAGCGTAGTGGTGGGCACTTGACTCTAGGACATTGTATTTGTCTGGTCGCAAAGTTGCACGTGCAGATGGCACACGTGTCGTAACCTCCAGGCACTAGGTAAGGGTGCCATGATGACCCTGGGGCGTAGCTCTGTCCAGCAAGAACGCAGCTTCCATTTTCTGACCAAACAGCAGTCGTAGAGTCTAGAAAGTAACATTGAAATATTAAATAGGTAAATTAAAGATAACTTGTAAATAATGTATACAAGTCATGAATTTGAAAAGTTATAATGAAAAGTTTCTGTTTGATCGTAATCCAGTTGAAATACTCACTGGTACAAATAGGGCAACATTGTCCAGGTGGTTTGATGGTAGGCACCAGACAGTTGACAGGTGGGCACTGTACCGGTTCACATCGTACCATCCCCAATACGCACCAGCATTTTGAACATGTCTGCAAATATATGAAAACGTTTCTTTAAATCTAAATATTTACTACAAAGAATTAATCTTCGAAAAACAACAAGAGAAGCTTCTATTAGAATAAATGTTTATGAGGATACTTTTTCTGCTCTAAAAGCACACATAATAATGGTAACCTCCTCTTAAAATTACTCAGTTAGTGATAAATTTATAAGTTATAACTATTGTCCTCACCTCGGTATCTGTCCAAGTTTCTCCAAGCTTGTAGTACTTATCTCTTTGCGTACAATAATTGAGGCGGAATAAGGAGTAGTCCGTCATCTGGTCTTCTAAAGGTCCTGGAGTATACTTGGGGATCAGCTCGTTGTCCGACGTCCCTGGCACGGATGGCAAACACGATGGAGGCACGCTTATCTAAAAAACATTAAAAAATATTTCGTCATATTATATTAAGAAATCCACTGTTCGTTCTATCATTTGTTTTTTACTGACTCACCGATTAATTTTCCGATCTGTCGCAGCACAAATAAATTGATTTTCAAATTAAATATTCGTTTTTAGCTTAGTGTTATCTTAACTAATAAACATATTAGGATTTTTTAAGATTAACTCACTTATTGCCAAAGCTATTAGGTAAAAAATAAGGTTTTTTATTGGTTTGTTAATGACTGACGATTATCAAAACAAAATATTTTTAAACGTGGAAAACTTTAAGAGGATCATTATATTTGAATGTTCTTTTTAAGGATTTACCTGTGGTACTCGCGCGCGCAGGATTACAGTTACGTTGTCGTGGGCTCGCAACTCTAGGGTTGAAGCTCCTAGATGCAGCGCCACCAGCTCAGCGGAGGTCGGCTCTAACACCCATCCTTCTTCACCGCCTAATTCTCTTGCTGCAACTTCAGTGCCAGGATGAGTCCCCAGCCACCAGGATGACCAAGAACGAGCATTACCACCGGTAATCACCGTCTGAAACAAATTAGTTTTTTGTTGAGATTGATACCACCATTAGCACTGCGACTCTAACCACCCAAGGATCAATCGATAGATAATATAATACCTATGGCATTTAAGTTGTTATATTAAATGAATGGATTGAGTATGAGTATCGAGAATTAATTGGCTGCTACTTAAGGATGCTGCCAAAGGTCCTATAGTAAAAATGATAATTGATGCATTGGTTTCAATTTAGATTTAAGAAATACTTATATAAATCTTTCTCGTATCTGGTAAATTACCTCATAATATAGTCCACATAATGAGTCCACGGACAGCCACGCCAGCCCAGCCATAGCAGCTGGTAGCCTGACTTGTCCTGTTCTTCGCAGTAGAGCGGGACCAGACCCTGCTGCATCAGGTAGCATTCGCGATGTCAGACGACCACGGAGAATTGGAGGACCTGAAAAAAGTAATTCATAATATTTTCCCTTTATATAACGAAAGAAAAGAAAGTAGTCGTAAAATGTCTTAAGAGATAGCCGAAGCTACACATATGAGATGTTAAAATCCATATTTTACCGGTGCTTTTGCAAAATACAAATCGTGAGGTACTTTTTCCACCCTATTAAATCAACCAAAGACCCCAGCATGCTGTTTTTTGTTTCGGTTGCGATCACTTGTGGAATTTGTCATCTTAAAAAGATGTACACAAAAAAATCTCTGTAGATTAATTTGTTTGCCGTTCAATTTGAACCCGTAGCTCGGCTTAATAGGAATAAATTAAATCAGGCACACGATTTAATGGAGTGCCGGCTACAACGCAGTAATCGTTTAATTGTCTTGTTTGAATTCATTTTGCTTACAATAGGTGAATCCATTTAGTGAGATAAAACGATTAATACGAAACATTTGATAAAAGTATATAAAACATTCTCACATTGAATAAAAGTTTATCTAAGGTCCACGTAGTTGTCAGTATGTGGGTGCGAAGAGCTGAGAAGAAATTCTTATCTCCAGCAATGGACGGAAACAGGCTTATAATGAAGATGAAGATAATGGCGTCAAGATCTTTAAAGTAGTGCATTGGGCATTTTGGTATACATTACATGATTTTAAATTCTAAGAGAATCCATAGAATACCAGATTCGGTCCCCAATAACACTCCAATTCGTTTCATCCGAAGAATTAAATAAGACTTACCGGTATCAGCACTAATATGAACCGCAAGCTGTTCTTCATACAAAGGCTGGAATATCCTGGCACTAGGTCGCGCCAGTACTCCAATACGGGTGTCCAGAATCTCAACCTGAGAGTGACGCTTGCCTTGCTCCTCCACCAAAGTTATCTTAGGGTCTGTTATACCCAAATTGTCAACCTGGAAATGATAACGTCAGAATCAGATGCTATCCTACCCTATGTATTTCCTTAATTTGAATTTCATATTACATGAACTACGTTGCATTTCAAACGTCAACCGAACCCTTATATCTTGAGTCTATATTCTAACTAAAATGATTGCAGAAACTTCTAAACAAACATACATTTACATACCCAAAAACTTCTTTAATGAAATAATAAATCATCATCAACTAGAACTGTAATGCATTAAAACTTAAAAGAGTTGTAAATGACAATAGAGGTATATACGACTTCCTGAATTACCTTTTTAAAACGTAATCTATCCTCTAAATAACAGGCTACACTTTGTCCTGACAAATAAAAAAGCCATTAACACTCATGTCTCTTAGAAATCTAATAAATTATGCGTCTTAACGACCCTACTAACCTGTTAAGGCGTCAATTCAAGCAATTTGCTTTTAAATTATAGTTAGATATCATCGAAATCATTTAAAATCCTTTATTTTCATGATCATTCATATAATGACATGTTTTTAACTCCGACATAATAATGAAAGAAAGAGAGTTAGGTAATTTGAATTTAAAAAGTTTCCATATAATTCCAAAATCAGAAATTGGAAATAAGGATCGTATTTTGTATTTTCGTAATCTCAAGAACTGCGGCACTTGTTAGATGAAATCGTTCAAACTTATAGACTTAATCTATATAAACAAAAATGAAACCCGTTTCCCGTTGTCACGCCATAACTTGAGAACAGCTAGAACGATTTGGCTGTTTTTTTTTTGCTGTTTTTGTTATTGTCAGGAGAAGGTTCTTATCACTGAAAACATTCCTGAAAATCCTACGGGAACGGGAGAGAACGAGATTGCGTGTACCAAGTCGCGGGCAGAAGCTAGTACCTACTTGATATTAAATAAAGACTTTTGACATTGTTAAGTATCTCCTTGTAAGGGAACGATGCGCACGCCAATTAAACTCGCTAGTTAGTTGCACACTGGTTTATTTTATCTAAACTTCATAGCGGAGCGGGGAAGCGGGGCGCAGCCCGCATTCTACCTTTGCATCTATACATACATACATAACATCCCTCCCCCTTAAACTATGAATACTTTTAACTAATTATACTTAATCATACACCTTATAGTTTAAAGTATCAGTTGGTTCGTCCTATCACTATCATCACTGACATACTGGCTTTCTGTAGGTGTCGAGAAGATAGGACTTATAGCCCGTCGCCTTTGAGTCAAGGCGGTGGTGCGTGGTGGAGTCACCGGTGTAGCTGACGACGTCGCCCCTTGTCCAAGGTCCGGCTCCGGCCTTCCTTCCCCTTCCGGCGGTGGAACTCTCTCAGAGTGAGTGATAGTCGGTGGTGCCACATCCGGTATCACGTCCGGGTCCCAGCTTAAGTCGTCGCTCGGTGTAGTGTCCACTCTTTTCCTTATCTGGTCCGTGTGTCTGTTGACCTCAGACCTCAATTGCGGGATGTACACACTGTATAGTACGTTGCCGATTTGTCTTTTAATAATTCCTTCAATCCAACTGTATTTCTTATTATTAGTATTTTTTGTGATCCAAACTTTTTCATTTTGCTTATAATTAGGTCTTTGTACACCACGATAGTATTTAGCCTGTAAGGACTGATTACGCGCGACGGTCTGAATTAGGTCTGTGGACGAAGGTGACGGTGTCGGTGTGCTAGTGTTCAACAAGTCTAGTCGCGAGCGCAACGCACGCCCGAATACAATCTCTGAGGGTGACTTGCCAGTGGTGCTATTTTTAGAGTTCCTGTAATCGAATAAAAATTTCGAAACCCTTTCACTAATAGTTTTTTTATTACACCCCTCGAAAATAATAGCCTTAAGCCCCTTTTTTACTATTTTGACAAAGCTTTCGGCTTGCCCATTACTAGCCGGGTGGTATACCGGCGATAAGACATGTTCGATACCGTTAAGACTGCAAAAATCTTTAAATTCTAAGGATGTAAAGGATGTACCGTTATCACTCACCAAGGTGTGTGGGACTCCAAATCGCGACATCAAATCACATAATTTATTTATAACCGCCTTGGAGTTATGTGATGATGACATATCGTAACACTCAACCCATTTACTGTACGCATCTACAATAATTAAAAACATGTTATTGTGAATCGGACCCAAGAAATCTATGTGAATCCGATAAAAAGGATGCGGCGGCAACGGCCAGGGCGCGAGTGGGGCGTGCGGCGGGGCGGGCCGCAGCGCACTGCACACGCCGCACGCCGCCGCTATGCGCTCCAGCTCTGCGTCCACACCGGGAAACCACAGCCGCTTGCGAGCTTCTGCTTTCATTTTTACCACACCGAAATGTGAACTATGCAGTTCCCTACATATGCTTTCCTGAAAAACCGATGGAATTACGACTTTATGTCCGCGCATTAAGATACCATTTTCGTATGATAATTGTGTTCGACAATTAAAAAATGGTTTTAACCCTGCGTCATGTATCTTCCTAGGCCAGCCGTTTAAAATATAATGCTTGACAGATGTCAGCCGAGTGTCGCGAGCCGTCTCACTACGCAAGTCGCTCAACGTAATCGGTAAGTCCCCATCAATTACGAAGTTAACGTACGCCGCGCGATCCTCGCACTCTGCGAGTTCGTCCGGCGCCTGCGTCACGTTCTCATCCCCGTATGCTCGAGATAAATAATCCGCGCTGTTGTGCTTACTACTGATGTATTCAATAGTGTAATTATACGCAGCTAAAAATATAGCATATCTCTGTAGGCGGTTTGCCGATACCTCGGGAATACCTTTATGGGGCCCGAATATAGCTAACAGGGGCTTATGGTCTGTCCTTAGTACGAAAGGCTGGGACCGACCATATAGATACTGGTGGTACCGTCTTACCCCAAAAATTATCGCTGTCGCTTCCTTTTGGATTTGCGCGTAATTTTTTTCTGCTGACGACAACGTCCGGGAAGCATAAGATATCGGCCTTTCTAACCCGTTTTCGCCCACTTGTGATAGTACAGCTCCTAACCCTGTCGGCGACGCGTCTACTGTTAATATTAACTTTGCCTGTGGATCAAAATGCGCTAATGTTTTATCAGATGCTAATATGTTTTTTATATGATTGAATGAGTCATCGTGAATGCGAGTCCATTTCCACTTCGTATTTTTATTTAATAAATTATATAATGGACTTAATACGGACGATGCGTCCGGTACAAAGTTCCTATAATAATTAGTCAGTCCTAGGAACGACTGCAACTGTGACACGTTTGTCGGTTTAGGAGCTTGTAATATAGCTTTAACTTTATCGGGCGACTTCCTAACTCCATGTTTATCTATGACGTGACCGAGATATGAAATTTCATCTTTAAAAAATTCGCATTTACTCATCTGCACCGTTAGTTCGGCATCATCCAAGCGTTGCAAAACAGTGATAAGTCTCTGCATGTGCTGGTCTTTATTTTCTCCGGTTATAAGAATATCGTCAAGTAGAAATATGATTCCATCGATACCTGAGAGCAAACACTCCATTGCGCGCTGGAATATGGCAGGCGCGCTGGACAACCCAAATACCAATCGAGTGAAATTAAAAAGACCGCGGTGAGTATTGACGCAAGTTAACTTCTGAGATTCTTTATTCAAAATGAACTGATTATAAGCCATAGATAAATCAATTTTACTGAATTGTACGCCCCCGTGTAATTTGGCTAACAAGTCATTTACCGTCGGCAAAGGATACTGATCTATTATCAACTGTTTATTGATTGTAACAGAGTAATCGGCACATAATCTGATGCTACCGTTCTTTTTTAAAACCGGCACAACAGGCGACGCGTACTCCGAGTGTTCAACAGGCTGTAAGATACCTAATGACAATAATCTGTCGAGCTCCTTGTCTATTTTTTCTTTTAACGCGTAAGGTACTGGCCTCGCTTTGAAAAAAATCGGTTTAACGTCGGGTTTTAAATGTAAATCTATTTTATATTTGTTAAAAGCTCCGAGGTTACCTGAAAAAACTTTTGGGAACATGTTACTAAGTTTTTTATCCATATTAGCTTCGCGTACCGTTTGTTCTGAGTCAAACATGGCGTGTACGCGCGCCGGCACTAACTCCAGGTCGAACGCCCGAATGAAATCGCGGCCTAACAGCGGCGGTCCGCTTGCGTGCACTATATACACGTTGAGGGTATGCGTACGCCCGAGATAAGATATGGGTAATAAAACTATTCCGATCGTTTTGATGTTTTCTCCCGTATAGCTAAATAGTTTTTTGTTGGTGGCTGATAACGGCAATCGCTTGAAATGAATGTTGTAGGTATCTTTGGATATTACGCTCACCGCTGAACCACTATCAATTTCGAACTCCAAAGCTAGACCACTGATCATTACACGCTCCGTCATAGGTTTTCCTTTTACGCAACGAATATTATAAAAACACTCACCGTCGTCGTCTCCGTCTCCTCGTCGCCACGTGTTAAGTATCTCCTTGTAAGGGAACGATGCGCACGCCAATTAAACTCGCTAGTTAGTTGCACACTGGTTTATTTTATCTAAACTTCATAGCGGAGCGGGGAAGCGGGGCGCAGCCCGCATTCTACCTTTGCATCTATACATACATACATAACAGACATATACAGTCACTGACTATCGCTAGTCTAGACATGTTTGCGTTCTCAACTATTAAATGTCACATGATACGGTTCAATAATCCATGTTGTAAGGATGGACGAACACACCTTGTTATGTCCTTTGCAGTTTTAATTAAATTGCCTATTTCAATTACTGACTTTACTGGCAAATTATTTTTTATTTCTTAAGACCTTAGACCTACGTGTATAATTACACAATTTTCTTTATCATTTTCATTATCTTTAGATTGCATTTGTCCTTACGCTTTATGTTTGCGTCCTTCATTTAATACTGAGATAATTAAACTAATATCTTCTAAAGCCAAAAGTTAGCAACATCAGAGGGCCTAGTACGATTTTGTTTTACGTTTAACGAGAATCGAAAGGTTACCGCGGTTAGCCCTCTGATTGATCAGTCAATTGAAGCAGGCCAATCAGAGCGTTGGACGCAGTAACGTTTCAATGTTGTGAAACGTAAAACAAACTCACATTAAGCTCTGAGAACTCTAACATCAAAGATATATTTACCTGTATGTCATAGACGAGCGATCCTTCTTTGTCAATGTAAAGCAAGGCAAGTCCTTCAGGCGCAGGCGTTGCGGACAACCTCTCGGACACCAGCGGTGTATTGTACACTTCACAAGCTGCTTTCTGTCTCACAGTTCCCACGATTCTCCTCTCAGGAGCTTCAACAGCCTCCACAGTGAGAAGTAAGCGACCTCTAGCCAAAGATCTCAGTTCTGCAGCCGACACTGGAGTTGATACCTCCAGGACATTGAAGTCATAATGGGGTTTGCTTACCCTCTGCACCTGGAAAATCACATTAATTTATCTAAGACCTGAATGTTCTACTGCTTCTAATTAGAGTTAGGAAATAATTTTAGCAGTGGTTTGTAAAATTGTGGTGTAGGTAGAAGGTGATGGCATTGGGGTTATAAAGTATCATTACTATATTATTATGTAGGTATGTAAAAAGACAAAATGTCCCTTATTTTGTTTGTAAGGACAAACAGTTAAAATTCTCTACACGTAATAAAAGTACTTATCGCAAGGTGACATATTCTGAACTTCGCGACGCGAGCGACTCGTCGCTCTTAGATCTTCAACTGTTTTATAAACATTTTACATGAACGCTTCCGAAAATGCTTTAAAACGAACAAAAAATCGAAATTCCTGAGACAAGACGTATAATTATGTACTTGTAGTATACATTCACAGTATTTCTTGAGCTCTTAATGCGTTCATCTCAATTTACGTTTATTGGCAGTAATTAGCCACTTAAAGCCCTCATTAACAATAGGTAGTTGATTGTGTTGTTGTATAATTTGGTCACATCGTAAACAAAAGATAATAAATATGAATATACCTGATCAATGATGGTCTGATTCTTTTCTGGGAGAGTGAGGATCACTCTGACCAGGTGTGGAGTGACTGCAGTTTTTGGAAATACTCCATTGAAGACCAGAGCGAGGTACAGACTGGGAGTGGCTCCAGCCACTGCCGTGATCACTGCTGTGCCTCCCCACCAACCGTCTTCGTACTCTAACGCTGGGTAGTCCTGACAAGCCCCCTGTCCAATCGAAGTAGGAGGATGTTCTGGTTCCAACAATGTCGTGAACATTTCTGACGAAAGGGCAGGGTACCTACAAAAAAAAATTACTTAATTCACACCCATTACCAATACTCGCACTATCCTCATTACCGAAAATAAACATTAATGAAAGAGTGTAATATTTGCACAAGGTATATTTCCTAAACAAGTAAGCATGATAATATAAAAGGTCAAAACAATTAACATCAGTTTTCCCAGAAAGCAATCTAATCTTGATCATTATTTCTCAATATCACACGGCACTAGTGGCCACACTGTATCGTAGATATCGCGATAGTACTAAAGCAATTAATAGTACGAATCAATTGAGTTTCCACTAACAACATTATGACCGTTATAAAAACATGTGTGTCTAGGTTTTTTCCCAGAATTATATGTAATGGTGAACCTAGAGTTTTCCGCTGTAAATCATGCGGTTAATTAAATTTACAATCCAAGGCAAACAGTGCTGCCATTCATAGATTCCCGGGAATAATTACTGCCATAATATTTATTGCATCGATTCGGAAGGTGATCGGTGATTAATCCATAATTACTGGCGGCATGTACAAAGTTGGTGTTCATTTAAAATTCCTATTCCTTACCTACCTGTCGATTCTGCCGCTGAGAGCGCTATCGATGGAGTTGTTCCGCGCATCGCCCCACAGCAGGGCCACGTGCAGGTCTCCATCTCTCAGTAAAGTCTTGTATTGTCTTGGCACTCGACGCCAGACACCACAAAGCTGTAAACAACACATGTCACCTATCAAAAACAATAACAAGCGCACAATGAGTACCTACTTCAACATTTCGTAGAAACTATTGATATGGCCAAGGTAAGCCAATTCATCGAAATTACCTTATCTGTTTTTTCTTCGTACGTCGCGTGGATACCGGGTATTCTCTTCAGTGACTGTTCCAGTAGCACACGACCCTCTTTGTCGAGGAAGGCGAGTGCTCGAGGTTGGGTCTGTATGGAGGGGCTGAGGAGGACGGACCAGTAGAGGTGCCGTCTCCGGAACGTGAACCGAGCAGTCGCTACTCCGTGCGCAACAGGTACCCCTGACATGTCATCCCGTCGTACACACAGCGGAGACCGGCCGGTTAGAAATGATGCGAAATCTTGAAGAAGAAAATGAAAAGACGTTAATAGGTTGTTAACCTGAGTTTCTTATCTTTATCAAAACAAATGGTGAAATACTTACATTTCATGTTTTTTTCATCTTCTTCAGTCGTAATGACAACTGGACTGTCTTCTTGAACGATGTCGGGAGCTGAAACAAAAATGATGCTATTTGTAACTAGATATTTCAATGCTATGTTAATATAACTTCTACATTAGTTCGAAACTGGTTCAAAAGCTAGGATGGACTTAGAACAACACCACAAACTTGAATGAAACTCAATAGGGCACTAAAATATTATGGTCGAAATCAATTCGCTGAAATTACTTTCCGTCTAAACGGTGAAAGGCGCTTAGATCTTATTCTGTAGCACTAAGAAACTTGGGAGAAACCGACACATAATTTCAAATAAAACTTTTTGCAATATTTTTAATTATGTTGTCGTCATAGCTATATGAAACCTAGAAGGAAGGAAACATAATGTAAATATAAAGTGGGCGTTTTAATAATCGTGTACTTTCTTTCCGCCACGCTGGTCATGAAGTCGTAGTGGGATCAATTGATTGCGAGTGCGTCGACGTCGCCAGGCCTGTGCGCAAGACCTCCCCGACCCCTCGATTCGGGTTGATTGGATCAAATGTTATTCAATCGTAACAGGATCGGCGCGGGCGTCTAGACGGCGACGGTAGAATTTGCGTTTTGCATAGCTTTCTTGTTGGGTCTGCTATGGACAGAAATAGAGAGAGCACTGACATTTCATGCGACACTTTGATTGGTATCCGATTTACCGATGTACGCTCGTTAAACGCTCGTAAACCCGAATGCATCGAGCACGTATTGTGTTATTACATTTATTATGTTGCCGCTACTAGAACTCCGCATACATTACGCGTTATTACAGTCTACTTAACTTTAATGCGATATAAGTTCAGATTTTATGCTCCAAGTTCTTGGGAATTGTGCGTTTCAAGTAACTAGGGTAATAATGTAGAGTATTATGGATGGGTCATTACAACTTTGATCGACTTTAGTGAACTATTATGACGGATTTGATTTTGAGTTTAAGTTGAATCAAAAAAATTGATGTAAGGCTTAAAATGTAACTTATTTTAAGTCTGAAGATTTCTTTTTGTTTTAATTAATATAATTGATTAAGCATTTGATTATTTAAATTACGTCACCTACATTTTTTTAATATGAACTGGAAAAAGCACAGACTGGTTCAGCGACCTGCTGATAGCCCACAATAGTTAACCCTATTAAGGAAATGTTAGACATAATAAATAAGAAAAACATAGTTAGTTTCTACTTGTTTAACGGAAATTAAAATCCGTAAGTTGATTAAATCAAACAGCTATAACTAGCTCATTTCCAATAAGTGAACGGACTTAAGACATCTGCCACGGCTAGGCATTAAGTATTCCTTTCTTAATTAATACCTAAGTAACATTACCATAATACACAATACTTGTATCATAGCTAACGACATAAACACTTAACATTTTCCAATATTTTTCCATAAATTTGAAATGTCAATTTTCAATAACTACCTGTCTTTAGAAGTAATTACTTTAATAGAATAAGTGGTCCCGGTCTTAATAAACATGTAAATGTCACATTGTAACATAATATCAATAATGGCATAATTATATCACCACTTGTTGTAGCTGTGTTTAGGCGCATTATGTACCTATGGCTGCGTCGTTAAATCGAACACCGAGTTAGACTAATAAATCGTGTTATCTGATCATTGTAGTAGACAGGGGAATGACATGATAAACAAGTATATAGTATCCAGTAAACATTGTGATGAGGGGACCTGTTTACGCGACTATGAGCTTACGCAGCCAGATTGTGATCTGGCACGCTCCGGCGCCGTTCATAATTCACTCTGTAAATTCATTACATATCCGAGACAGCCCTAAATTTATTTGCAAATGGCGCCAAGGCGGCGATGAGTAGCTCTAGGATATTTGCAAGCACAACAAAGAGTAGCGCGCACGGAGAGATGGCGCGCGGCCGAGGGAATGTGCCGCCGATACACAGGGCTGACGACATGTTTATCGCGCGCGCCACCAGTTACTACATCAGCCGCCGCCTGCACGTTACCTGCTGCTTCATTAATGTCACACGCCACACCACCACACACCTACACTACTCGCTCTCGAACATATTGTTGTTTATTTTCTACACTGAAATTCATCATCCTGAAATGACTAACAACCGCCCGCCCGGCTGAGATATTACTGCCCAAAAGCACATAAACTTACTCTGTTTAACAAAACATGTACCAAATCATAATAGAACAACTTTACCGTTTGTGAAATCGATTAGCAAACATTCCACTTGGGTATTTATATTATTAGTTAGAATATTACGAACGTGTTATATCTGAGCATGGAGTATGAATAAATGCAGTAAAATATGCTGCCGCCCATTAAAATGCATTAACAGTGACAAATACCAGCGCTAGCGGCATAGTAGGACAACTTTCGACGTTTCTGTCTATCATGCTTTATTAATTGTTCATTACTATTATAATTAATCTTCCATTTTGGTTCTAAAACATCGACAGATTTAGAGATGTAAAGAATATGGTAACAAAAATTATAGAACTAATAAGTTGGCATTGTGTTTATTTCACAGAGCATACACAAATCGTCCCATTGGAAGAATAAAGTGTTATGATCACATGTGTCGAAATTCATATTATGTTAAATTCGTCATCCTTATAATGTAAACTATCGATTAATACTATTTTTATATATTTTTATCAATTAATTCAAAAGATACAATGCTCGAATAAAGTTTTATCGGCGCCGATTACGTAAAATAACTATGCATGATCACATACAACAATATTCTCCGCCTTGCTCCTGCGCAATTAGCTGCGCGTGCCGTGTCGCTTCATCCTAAGTAACGTTGTTCTACGAAGTAGCAGCGAGTGGTGTTTGTTACAATGAATACCCAAAATTTGATAAAATATGCTGTATATAATGGTTTGATACAATTTACACTACGTTTTATAAATTTCCCACAAAGACAGTATTTATAATCACATAAAACATTTTTTTACGAAATACCAAAGCTTACTTATTAGAACTTAAATCTGAACTAAATACTTTAATAATAACTTATATAACATAACGGTATCTAATAGGACTTGTCTTATTTTTTCCCCTATTTTTCCAGTTTCTTATAAACCTAGTACATTTTACTACGTAAAATTTTATATTTTTTTCGTCCGCAAGTACGCATAAAACATTATTCTACAAAAAAAATAATTAAAGTGAGTGCCGTATATGCAAATGACACTTCTTTTTACCAACGGTTTTATTATAAAACAATATTCGAAATCTTAAAATTGCTATAAAATGGTTAAATTTAATTTAAAATATGAACAGCTTATTCAATAATCTATTAACAACTAAATGTACTAGGTAGGTATAGCAAAAAAGTAACTAATGTAAGTTTACATTGAAAACACCAATGGACCTAAACACAAGAGTGCACGCCTCCCTTTTTGACATGTTTGCTTTTTGTATTAGAAAAATCGAAATAGTTTATTTTT